GAAAAAAAGCTGGAGGCAATAATTCTAAAGCTAGATATCGGTAGGAAGGAAAGGCTTCCTGGAAAAGCTATAATTCAGTAGAGATATATAAAGATGGTAATTAACGCTTTCCACAAGAAGGCCGTGAAAGCACCTGTGATTTATAATGGTTGCCCTCTTAGCAGCAATATGATTTGTGAGTCAGTATATTAAGGGAACATGAGAGATATTAGAGAAAACTGAGACTCCATAGTTTGTAGGCTTTGATTTCGTCTTACGAAATATAGACACATAAAAATAAATACAAATCTACAGAAGGGCAACCACAGCAGTATAAATTTCTAAGTTTTACTAAAATTTGACTACAGGCTTCATTAAAAATTAATGAAAACATTATATTATATTTTTTCATCACTCTCCGTACGAACGCAAGCACGCACACACACACACACACACAGACTATTTTGCGAGACTTAGTTATTTGGACTCAGGGAACCTCAAAACGTGTATTCTCGTTGAAAATTCCGATTCGAAAATTATCACGATCGCAATACTTTCCCTTACTATATATTACATACCCTTGCATAAATAAGTGAAAGTAATACATTTAAGAATATCAAGTGAAAATTGAAGGGTGATTGAATTATAAAATCATAGGATATGTTGATTACTATCTTTGAAAATAAAAGTGACATTTAGGTATCAATACATTAGTTACTATCAACTACTAGGAGCTCTAGACTAGCAATCCAGTCGACTTTTCTTAATCAATTTTAGTTTACTCATTTTTATTATTTATTATTGTGTGGGCTTAGTTTTTATTGATTTTAATTTTGTTTTAACTCAAATTAATTTTAAGGGAAGAGGGGCGAAGCGGTATTCTGGCCACATCAACATTTTTATTGAGGGGAAGAGAGATCGCTCTCTTTCCCCGTAGTCTGCGCTTATGCACCGGATATACATTTGCATAAATATATTAATTTTTTTTCGAATTTACCGTCAATTCAATTGAATAAAGAAACTCCTTTTTAAGTATCAATACCAAATCAACAATTAAAATCGAAGAAAGCGAAAAAAAAACGGGAGAGAATTCGATGAATATTCGAACTGAGTCTCACTACCAGATTAGAATGACCTTAATTCTTTAACGACTTAAATAAAAAATGTACTCGCTATTCCCAAGAACTACCTTCGACTTCCGACGTTTTTTTCTTCCCTATTTTCCTTTCCATTTTATTATAAATGGAAAATATTATACCCTTTTTCTTTCTTATCCTTTTTTTTTCTTTTCTTCCAGAGCCTCCTTTTCTTTTATGGTGTAGCGCAAAGGAAGGGTTTTTAAATTTAATAAAAGATTAGAATTAAGTTCCAAAAAAAAAAAAAATGTCTGCTTTAATCTTTCTTGGAATTATTTCCTTCGTCAACCACATATTCGTTAAACAGAAAATGAGCCTGCTTGTATCGCACAAAGCTTTTAAAAGTATCTAATGAAACGCAATTTATTAATAATTACATTGAAAATAAAACCAATTTCATCACAATCGTACTCACAAGGATCGTTTATTTCATTTTTTTTTAATAATAAAATAAGGAACACTTTCAAAAGAAAACAATTATAAATGTTTTTATAAAAGTCAATTAGAAAAAACTTTGAAATGAACCCAAATCTAAAAATATTAATTTCATAGATTAAAAATAAATAAACGAACTCATACTTAAAAATTTTATTTTAATAAAAACAAAATGTACAAAGATAAAATTTACAAATATTAAATATAACCTAAGTTCTTAATAGAAGCTCCTAGTCTTTCATCTCCCACACATAGATTTTTAGGTTGATACAAGTCAAACAATTAAAACTTCAGAAGTAAGAAATTAAAATGGTTTCTTGTCCATGAATGATCTGGAGAAATAATTCTAGACTAACAATTACTGATTTATTTAATCATAATCTACTAAAAATGAAAATATGTTTGATAAAAACTATATTATTTTAATTGGTTTAATCAAGTAAATCATTAAATATATTTATGCATTATCCATCTTAAAGTGATGTTTTAAATGTGTAGTGGGTCATACAAGTGGCATGATTAAGGTATATTCATATATAATCAAACTATGATATATAATTACAGTGATGAAGAAAATTTTACAATTTTTTGTTTGTTTTGTTTTTCAAAGTAAATTAAATTAAAACATTAAATAACTGAATATTCTATTTCTACCAAAGCTACAGCAGTTTACAAACTACAAAACCTAGTAGTTGGTGTAATAAGCACATTAGAGGGTAGAAATAAAATAAAAAATAATTGTAAAATTGTAGAAATAACATTCAAATAAAATGGTATATTTATAACTGACGCTTATGGATAGATATGTTGTGTGAATAGCAAACAATAAATGATAATTTTTTTAATGACAAATTCCTTTCAATATATAACAAATGGGATGTCAAGCTTTGAATGAATAAATAAATGAAAAATCATTTTATTCTGAGACTACAGTCCCCTAACAATAATGACAAATTTCAAGAAATACATAAATTAGTCTGAAATGTAGAAACAATTCAAATATAAAAAAAAAATAATGATAATAGATTAAAATGATTGGAACTACAAAATCTAAAAATTCCTGCATGGTGACAGAATACTGAAGACTGTAGGTGGTGGAATTAGGAATTATTTGAAGTAATCTTAGGACAAGTATTGAGGTATGGAGATAGGTAAGGAGTTCCAAAAGGAGGTAGCATGAATATATGTATTTGTTGAATGAAGTTGTTTTATTGGAGGGGATACATAGATCTATAGGTTGAAATCTGCTATTAAATGAATGAATAGAGGAACCAAGAGTAAGGAGTTTTAGGATACTGGGAGGATTTTTGGTCCTGAGGCGTTGGGATAGGAAAACACGAAAAAGAAATTGGCACCAGGAAGTAGATAGATAGGATAGACCCAATTCAACTTACTGTACCTGCAGGAAAAATGAGAACGCCCTGAAATCCCAAAGATGAATCTTATGAAAGCTTAATCTATAATTGCCATTTATTTTCTGGTCTCCATCCATTCCTCTACATTACTTTTATGTGTTTTCCATTTATATCAGAAAAACATGATTGTCATACTAACTCAAGTCAAATATAAGTACATAATTTCCAATTAAAAAATCTTTCTGTTAAATTCATAAAATGGTATGTAAACGTCAGTTAATTCTACTTAGTCACTATATTTTAAAATGATACTATTAACTTTATTCAGTACTGTATTTACTGCATCAATATTATATAAGCATTGCTTTATTATTTATTAATTTATTAGAATGTATAGTGATGATTACATTATCTACTATAATACTTAATATGCATTAAGTTGTATAAAGGTGACCTTAATTATATATAAATAGCAGTGTTTTCTAAGGGATTATTGGAGTATTTGTTGAGTGATTTAAATAAACATACTCGATCTCAATATTAATAATGAAAACATTCATGGGAAATATTGCAATAAAATATATTAAACCTATAAATCTTATTTTCTAGGTCATCATGCATTGAATTTATTGATAGAGGTACAACAATCTGTATTGACAATGAATTTTATTTAATATCCAATATAATTGGTATGAGTTAGTTCATGCAATACAGCCACACATTATTGTTTTATATTTATATTTTTGAAACTATTAATTATAAATATTTTTAAAAAATAATAATCAAACAATAAGTAAAATACACCCCTGCTAAATAAACTAAATTGAATACAAGACATTTAAAAGATTAGTTGGTTCTCTGAATGGATATTTCGAAATAAATGGGTCACCTCAATCAACCAATCAAACCAGTGGTTAAAAATGTTAATAAGCAGTTCATCAAGATTATTCCAAAACTTATTTTTCCAAATTATAAATCTAAAAGGAACAACCTATTACCTCATAATTTAATTGCCTTAATCATAGGATTTCTCAAACACAACATCAGCCGTACATTTCATGGATATATTTTTTACTGTGCAGAAAAAATGAAGAGATTGTTACCTAGATATATATATATATATATATATATATTTTAGACCATTAAACAAATTGAATGATCAGTTAAAATTTGAATTACAGTGATGAAGAAAATTTTACAATTTTTTTTTTTTATTTGTTTTTCAAAGTAAATTAAATCATTACTGATTCTATTTCTACCAAAGCCATAGCAGTTTACAAACTACAAAACGTAGTAGTTGGTGTAATAAAAGGTAAAGAATTAAAGATACATAATTTAGAAGGTAAAAATAAAAATTGTGAATGTCCTCCTGATTGGTCTAGCGGCAGCACTGATTGTAAATAAAAATTGTCTGACAATTAATTTATATTGCTGAACCAAAAATTACAAACAAGTCACATCATTATGGTTCATCATTTTATTTTTTCCTACTCTATCTCTTCTCTTAAGTGTGTGGGTCATGAGAACTTAAATGTTTCTAAAGAGACTGGTTAAGGTTAAAGTTCAGTAAACATCTAAATTAAATTAAATATAACATATAATATATCAAAAGCTGACAATACTATTTCATTTTAATTTCTCATAAGTATGGTGGTCTAGACCTCAGTTCAGAGCGTATGATAAAAGTTCAGTCAGTTTATAGTTAGTGATTTTCGCAGTTTTTAGAAGGAGTTCGGTCATAATTTTTGGTTAGAACCAACTATTAATCGTGTTATATCCACAGACAGGAAAGATTCTTCAATACAACGCCGTTTCACGTCAGAAGAAGAAAGGAAAAATCATAATTTTAGTCGGCTTAAGGTATTTATTGCAGGCATTCTAGATAAGAATATAGGTGGGGAGCGCATGCGCATAAATAGGACTAGGTACTAGATATCTCAGTGTTTCCAGTGACTAGGTTGGGGTAACGTCAAATTTTTTACCACGTTACTTACGTAATTTTTTTTTTTTTCTCTTTCTTCTTTTCTTTCGCTTATCAAGATGGTTTTATGCCCAATCTGTAAACAGACCATAGCAAGAGAAGAAAAAAAAAACAATGGCATGCACTGTCCCAACATGTCAAGCCATTTTCCATGGAAAATGTCTAAACGCAGACGAGAGTGAGTTTGAAGCACTGAGGGCATTACGAAAAAATTGGGAATGCCCGAAATGTGAAAAGGCACGGAAAAATATCCAACCGACAGACAAGTGTCTCAGCCCGCCAAGATCGGCGCCACAACAACAAACTGTCGACAGCACGTCACAACTGCTACTAGCTGCCATTAAAAATTTAACAGAAGAGGTCAAGGGATTAAAATTCTCCCTCGATGCCAATGCTAACGAGGTGAAAGAATTAAAAATATCTCTCGAAAAGCAAGCATCCATAACTTTTGAGAATGCGGCGAAATTAGACTCTATAGAGTCACTACTGGAGGCTCAAAATTCCAAGATTGACGGACTGGTCTTGGAAAACACGACTCTCAAGTCTCGGGTCTCGGAGCTCGAAATCAGGCTCAATAAAAGTGAGCAACTGCACCTTTCCAGGTCAATAGAAATAAGAGGAGTCCCAGTGAGATCTGGAGAGACCCCGATGGGCCTGGTTATGAGCGTGGGGGCGGGCCTGGGCCTTAGTCTAAAGGTGGAGGACATTGACTATGCAGAACGGATAAGAAACAGGCAAGACGATACACCTGGGCCGCTTGTGGTAAGGTTCGTCCGGCAGTCGCTTAGGGATGAGTTGATCCAGAGGCGAAAAGTCATTAGGGATTTTTCAACACGTCACCTCGGATGGCAAGAAAATGACGCCCACAAGATCTACCTGAGCGAAGCTATGTCCGTAACCAACAGACACCTGTACTGGCTGGCCCGGCAAAAGAGGTCTGCAGGAAAAGTCAGGTACAGTTGGTTTAGCGCAGGCAAGGTGAAATGTCGACGAGACGATGGACAGCAGGTCGTCGTCATCAACTCACCATCAGATTTAGAAACATTTGCTTGACATGCATATACATGTTACAACACTTTGAACAATTTTGTTTTTACTTTTTTATATCCCCAGTTTTATGTTTTTGTTGCGTTTGTTTTAATAATAGACTATGATAATAATTTCATTTTTGTTTATGAGAATATTTTAGGTCTGATCTGCCCAGAAACTCTAATTTGTGTATTTTTTTTCTTTTGCACAATAGGAATATGCTTTTCGTTAACTAAATTTTATATTTTTTGTTTACCATCCTTATTGATATCTAGGAGATCTTGCACACAATTGGCTCTAGCTGCTGTAGAAATATTCCTATCCTTAACTCCTTCTGTCCGTTTACCAAGCCACCCCTCCTTCTTCCATGACTAATATCCTTCTAACCTGCCACGTCAACGCTCAGTCACTCTTAGCCCATTTTGATGAATTTTACGACTTTTTTCTCCATAACTTCTACCATTTAATTGCCGTATCCGAAACCTGGTTGAAACCCACAATCCCGTCCTCCCAGATCCTTCTACCTAACTATACTCTCCTTCGTCATGACAGAGTAGATCGCACGGGTGGTGGAGTAGGTCTCTTTGTCCATGACAGTCTCAAATCCAAAATTCTTCACTGCTCTTCCATAACCGATTCTCCGCACGTTGAATACCTTTTCGCCGAAATCCTCACCACCTCATCTGCCATTCTGTTTGCTGTCATATATCGCCCTCCTAGAATTCCTTTCGATGAATCACTTGAGACTTTATTGTACAACTTAATCCCTTCCTACTCAAACATCATCCTCTCCGGTGACTTTAACACCAATTTACTGGCACCATCCTCTGATTATTCCTACCTAACAAACCTCTTTAATTCTCTCAGCCTTTACATAGTACCCTACAATCCAACCCATCATACTCAGTATTCAGAGTCCTGGCTCGATCTGATTATCCTGGATTCCTCAGACAAACTCCTTGCCGCATCTCAGCACCCGGTTCCGTTTCTATCTTCCCACGATCTTGTCCAGATCTCTTACAATGTCCCTGTTCCATCCTTTTCTCCCCGAACAATATCCTTCCGAAACCTAGATTATCTCACTCACGAAACATTGTCAGAAGGTCTTGACGATATCCAGTGGGATCCCATCTACTCCTCAAAATCCATAGACACCATGGTAGAAATCCTAACCACTCAACTTCACTCTATCCTCGACCGACATGCTCCTCTTATCACAAAAACCATCCGATATCCTCCAGCTCCTTGGCTTACCCCTGCTTTGAGGGAGTGTATGAGAGAAAGAGATGCTGCAAGGCGACGGTTTAAACGAACTCGACTTCCTGATGATTTTCTCTCCTACAAACAGCTTCGAAATAGCACTCAATCAGCAGTACGCCGTGCTAAATCCCGTTACTACCATCATTCCCTATCCAACTCTCCCAATACCAAGGCTACGTGGGCTATTCTTAGAAAACTGACCATTGGTAATACACCCCAGTCTCAGTCCAATTCCGTTTCTGCTGATAACCTCAACGCTCACTTTGTCTCCTGTCCTCTTGCATCCACATCTCCCACGTCCAGTCTGGCTCCTATGTTCTCTTCCTTTAATCCTGATCACTTCTTTCTTTCCCATATTACACCAGATGAGCTCCTTAAATCCATTCAGAAGTCCCATACCAATGACTACGGTCCCGACAACATCCCAGTCAGACTGATTAAAGCCGCATTGCCATCCATTCTTCCGATCCTTTATCATATATACAATTATTCTCTTCAAAATGCTACCTTCCCTACATCCTGGAAAACCGCCCTAGTACGCCCATTGAAGAAGACTTCAAACCCATCAGTTCCTAATGATTTCCGACCGATTTCCCTCCTTTCAAACCTCTCAAAACCATTAGAGCGGTTAGTCCAATCCCAGCTATCCCATTTTTTAGAGGACAATAATCTCCTAAATCCCTACCAGTCTGGATTCAGGCCTGGTTATTCTACTCAGTCTGCCCTAATCAAAATTTCCCAAGACCTTCACACAGCCATAGATCAGCAGAAACTAACCATCCTTATTCTCCTAGACTTCTCCAAAGCTTTTGATTCAGTAGACCACAACATCCTCCTAACCAAACTTAAAAATATCTCTTTTTCTTCTAGTTCCCTTAATTGGTTCCAATCCTTCCTAACCGGTCGCTCCCAGTACGTTGTAATTCCTAATAACCCACCATCAGAATCTCTACCTCTGACCAGAGGCGTCCCACAAGGCTCTTCCTTATCCCCCACCCTTTTCTCCATCTATATAAATGACCTCCCATCCTCTATCCTGCACTGTCATTACCACCTGTATGCCGACGACATTCAAATTTACCTCTCCTTTAATCCGACAGATATCTCAGATGCCACTCAAAAACTTCAGGAAGATATTGACAGAATAAGTGCTTGGGCAAACCTCAATAGGCTCACTCTGAACGCCGAGAAGACAAAAGCCATCTTGATCGGATCCCCTTCACTCCTCAAATCCTCCCCAGTATCTCCCAATCTCTTCCTGAACAACTCACCTATCTTATTCTACACCACCGTTAAAAACCTAGGTGTTACTTTCGATCAATCCCTATCCTGGAAACCTCACATCTCCCAAATTTCCCGTCGCACTATCTCCACCCTAAAACAGTTCAATCGTCTACGATATCTCCTTCCATATAAGTCCCGTCAACTCCTAGTTTCCTCCCTTGTTTTCCCCCACTTCGACTACGGCTGTATGGTGTACGGCGGACTCCCGGGAGATTCCGAGGCCAAACTTAAACGCCTAATGAATTGCGCACTACGATTTGTTTTCGGAATCTCAAGGGATACGCATATTACCCAGTATTACACTGAGTTGAGGTGGCTCTACCCATCCTATCGCCGTCAGTACTTCCTAGCCACCTTTCTGTACCAAATTATTAGAACCCATCGACCCTCCTACATTTTTCACAGCTTACAATTCAAATATTCCATCCAATCCCGTCCCACCACATCTCGTACTTCCGACCTCTATCCTCCTCCTCACCGAACTGCTGCGTTTGACAAATCCTTTGCAATACAAGCCGCCTCCCTCTGGAATTCCATCCCACCTGATATTCGACACGCTCAATCAGTTTCCTCGTTTAAACCACTCCTCTTTAAGCACCTACTCCTTTCTCAATCCGAATGATTGTGAAATATATCTAAGAGAAATATCTGAGCACCACCAGAGACTACCTCAATTTATTAAGATTATTTTAGTTTCTCATATATATGTACAATTTACTTGTTCTCTTCTTTCTCTTTTCTGTATTTTTATCGTAAGTCAACTTTCATTGTAAATATACAATTCAATTGTAGCCACACAGACATATAATCTGTATTCATATTTTGTTCTTAAGGGACAACAGTCCCAGAATAATAAAACATTTTTTTCATTTCATTTCATTTCATTTCAAGTATCAATTTCTCAATCATCTTGAGACTTTTTAGTAACTCCAATACAAATGATTCTTAATTATCATCTGACCTTATAAGTCCCTAAACCGTTTGACCAATCATCATTAATATTTGATTAATGCTTCATTATGAAATGAATGATTTATTATCTTCAGATCCGACAGTAGGAACATTTTTCATATGATGGTGTAAGTTGTTAATTCTTACAATAAGACTATTATTACCAATGAAGTAAATGTTAAATAAAATTACATAGTTGAATTAAAGTCAAAATAAGACAGATCCGACAGATAATATTAGCAATACTTCTAATAAGAGTAATAAGTGAATTACTTTTCTCTAAAAAAATCCTATGAAATGCTTCTTCATTACAAAGAAATAAATGTCAATAAAGTTTTCTTAAAAAGTGTTCATTTTAATATTTATTCTTATAATACATAGGTTCCCCCGACGAAACCCAATGAAACAACTGCAACTATTGCAAGAAACTGCAACTGATTGACTTTAACCATTAACTTTGTAGTATTTAATAACGTAGTACTCTAACCATATGATTAATCCTCTGACTGAGATCTATTCTTCATTTCAGGTTTTATAAAATGTCACCCAACACTGTACCCTCTAGACTCGCTTACTTCTAAAATATTTTTTCTTATTTGATTCTTGTAATGTATTTATCAAACATTTGCTAATGATTATTAAAAAGAATTTATAAACATCATAATGTAATTTATAATTTGAATGAATCAAGATCAACGGGTAATAATTCACTTTTACATTTGTCGTTGTAGAGTGTTGATTGATTACTTAATACAGATATAAAATGGGAACATTGTTTTACAACACAAAAATGAAGTTTTAAGCCAGAGCTTCTTTATATTCCATATCAGGTATATTATAAAATCTTAAACTTAATTCACTAAAGTAATGTAACAAAATACCCAGTTGACGGATTTTTCCTAATACTGGATAGATTGATACCTACCCATATTAGAAATGTCTTTTAATTTATAAAAAAAAAAGTCTCTATCAATTATGGTCTATCTTTATACACTCAAAATATTTGTAGATATTAGCAACATTATCAGTTTTCTAAGTAGATCCTATCAAATCAAATATTACCAAGAAAAATAAACTAATGAATACTTATAAAATCAAATTAACATTTTCAAAAATAATTTTTTCTTCCTTATAATATATTACTCGGATTTTTTGTTAAAACAGTGATTCAACATTTAACACAATGCTATAAATTATTCCTTAAGATTCATTTATTCTTGTATTATAACAGAATTTTAGAACTATAATTACTTTATGGACTTAAATAACAATATTGTGGTAAATAAATCAATTGGATATCATTAGAAAATAAAACAACCTACACCCCTACAACTTATGAGTCATGTGTTCAGTACATTTTAAGTACTATTATTTTGGCTACAGTTATGCAAGGAGGTAATTTGACTGAGAACACTGAAACGCTCAAACACGAGGTTTTTGCTTTAAACCAATTATATTTAATTAAGATTACCCACTACATAGTGACTGGGTATGCCCTAGGAGGGTCTTATGATGTCAAGATCAATCCTCGACTGAATAACAATTTTTTTGTCTTCTCTAATTACTTAAGATAAAATATCTTCTAAGAATAATACATAATTTATTGTTCAATACAATATCATTATATGATAAGTACATAATAATCAATAAGAATTTTACTAATTTCCATTTACAACCAGAAATTGATTAAAAATGAGAATAGTAAAATACAATAATTGTTAATATAAACCAGAAGGCATCCATAGATTTTTAGAGACATTCTAAATAATGAGATTCAGGCTAAACAATTTTCCCTGAGTATTTTTCCTGAACAAATTTCCTTTTGTACCACATCTCTTTTTAACAGAGATTATTCTATGATTATTATTGATATTTTTTTTTTTTTTTAAGTATTCCTGGTTTCAAATTTTGAAATATTTGTTACAGAATACTTTAACTTTACTTTCATTACTATACTTTAGACAGTATGAGAGATAATCCATTTGATTTTCCTACTTTTTATTTAATCATGAGGAGTATATACTTATGTACTCTATGTAAGTATAGAGTGTATATTTAAAGAGGAGTTTATATGTATAGAAGTTTCCTAGTCAAATAATATAATTTAAAATTGTATGATCTTAATCAGATTACCATTATTTGGATTATATGATATTATAGAAGATCATTAATTTTTATCATCTCATTTATTTTGTATTCACTTTTCATCAGCATATTTTCACGTTATATGGTATAAAGTCATTATTAAGATAACTATTTTTATTATTTTGATCTGATTATAATTATAATGTAATTGATAACTTATTTATCCATTCCTCATTTTATTGCCAATTCTTCCATTAGATTACATTGAATGGATGAATGAATTGATGTAGTTGTTTAAACACCTTAAGTATACCATGGACATGTGTCCTAATATTAAAAATCAATTAGTACATTGTATTTCTGGTGCTATTTTCATTCCATGTATTACATTAAAAACATGATTGCAACTTCTATAAATTTCAAGATGACTCCATTAACAAAAAAAAAAGTGAATTTTAAATTATCGTATTGATGGCCAAATATGATCACATTCTGACCAATTTTTTTCACTGAGTATATAAAAATATATATTAATCCTACAATTGGAATGAAAACTTTTGATCTGATAGCTCTGAGGATTAAAAATTGATAGAAATATTTTAAGTTACATTAATCTCGATTTCTACAAATACCACAGGATTTAGAGCTATCATATAAGAAGTTTTTCATTCCAATTGTAAAAGAAAACCAAGAAAAATAAAATAAAATTTAAAAAATATGGCAAAAAAACTTAGTAATCATATAAAGTTATAGATTTTTTTTTTTGTATTATTCTCTAATGTTTCAAATATAGATAGATATTAAAATAAAGAATACAATACCAAATCATAACAATATAATATAATTAAGGCTTTACATTCTTTACTACATACTTTTTCAAATATTTCTTAGATTGTCCCATAATTATTATATTTCTGAATCATTCCATAATCTGTTTCATTATGCAATAAGGCATTGGATAATATCCTTCTTCTGCCATTCCATCCAATAAGAACAAGTTTTGATACAAATCGCTTTCTTTGACAAGCAGCTGGATTACATAACTTCAATGTTAGTGACAGATTCCCCATTATAATTATTAACGGTGTTGAAATAATATTGCTGAATGTTTGAAAAGTAAGCAAGTTTGTCGACTTGTTTTTACAAAGACATTTACATAAATTTATTTCTTAAGTAAAGAGAAAAACACTTTATTATCATAAAAGGGTGCTGCCCAATCAAATTGGGTTGCTTCAATATAAAATATATAATAAAAGAGTACATAAACAATCTATAATGTACTATATTAAATATTGTTTTATTAATAATCATCAAGCGAACTCGTGGTTTCTATCAAGTTAATCGCTTCACATTTTCTTCAGTCCAGAAAAAACTTCAATAAACACATACTTATATATTTATTTATAAATTTTCTTTCATATTTTATGCATTTGATATATTATAATATTTAATATAATATATAACTTTTTTTTTCCTGTTGACATTACAGACTATTTAATGCCGCCTTAAGAAGCCTGCTCCATCTCTGCCTATCTTGGGGTATTTTTTGCCATTTATCTGCACACAGTTCTATTGCATCTTTGTTGATTCTATATATCCATCTGTTTTTTGGCCTTCCATGTGGTCTTTTGCCTTCTATTGAGGGATTCATTGTTATGTAGAGGCTTCCAGGTCAATTGCAGCGAGTTACATGTCCCACACATCTTAACCTCCATGCCTTCATATCATTGATTGACCATTTTTTGGAAGCAGTTCTTTATTAGTATTTCATCTCTGTGTGTTAGTACTCTGATCCCAGATTGTTCCGGTTTTCGTGTGGAGGATTTTTCTCTCAAATCTTCCAACACTTCCTTCTAGGGTGCTGGTTAGTGTACAGGTCTTGAAACCATATAGTAGAACTGGCTTTATCATAGCATTGTATACCCTTAATTTGAGATATAATGTACAATATAATATTTAATATAATCTACTGGTAAAGTAGGAACAAAAAAGTTGACTTGAACCATGTAATTTTCCAATCCAAACCCTGAATATATGGTTTTTGTTTTGCATTTTGTATAAATGTGTGTTAAGTTGATTAGGATCTAGTATATACTCCAAACGAAGAGCGAAAAGGCGTGTTAACCTACAGATCATCCAAATATCAATCAGATAATAAAAACAAAATAAATTATGTAATTTCGCCACTAAATTAAAGTCAACACCATTTTACCGAACTCGAACGGACGCACATTAATCAAAAGGCAAAAGTATTATATGCCTATCTTTAAACATATTAGATAATTGATTTATTTTCCCTTAATCAATTACAAAAATTCATTTTATGATTTTCAACTAAAAATTTAGTTCAACTATCCATTTTTTTTTTTTTTTTTTTTTTGTTCTTCCCTGCCTCGCCGTTTAGGCTATACGGGATTTCCCCTAGCAGGAGGGTGAGAGGGGAATTTTAAAATCACCTCAGACACCGGGACGCGAACTCGTACTTATTTTTGTCTCTCAAAAAACTTCATATATCTGGTTGCCCGGCAACTCGCGGTGCTGCGCACACGCTTTAGCCCATTCGGCCACCGCGCCCCCTAGTTCAACTACATAATTATATATAGAGCTGAACTCAAACTGAGGACTAAGAAACTGGTAGGTTGTCGGATTGTGTATAAATTGAACGGGGGAAATCGCCGCTAGGCTGCAACTAAGAAAACTATAGACGAATTAGCTTAAATGATATCTTATACAATTTTTTTATGTCATTTTCAAAAGAATTTTTTCATAAAGAAAACCCAAATTTCAAGATCACAAAACAGAAGAAAATCTACAATTACTTAAATAAAATAACCGTTTATCATACCCGACGAGTGTTATCTTTGACTGTTGATTTAAAAAATTGCTGAAATAATAGGAAAACAATAATCCTGCCAACAGTAACATTAATGTTCAAGTTAAAAAAATAGTTCCTGAACCAAACATAATTCAAATAACTGTGACATTCATATATAAAGCATTGAGTACGCATCGATAATACATTACTTTTACATATTTCTATTTAAGAAATATTTCTATCTTAGACGAAATAGTTAGGGAAAATATTTTTAGAAACATGATTTTTAATAATGTTTTAGTATCTTGAACTAGGACCTTTACTTTTTCGCAAACAAATTTTTTTCATAAGTTTAATTACGAAATTTAATAACTAAGGGTAGTTGTAACGATAGTAAGGATTTTTAGGGCAGATAAATTAGTCGAATAAAGGAATTTTACGACGAATAAATTTTTTTATGTTTTAATTTGGTATTCATATCATAAATATTCCATTTTGTTTTTAGATATATTTTCTCTCCATATTAAAGCATACTATA